GGGCCATGACATATTTTTCAGCCTCGGTAGCAGTCCTGATTCCTATTTTTTTATTCTTAAAACTACTCAGATCAATCAGCCCATCTCCACCATTAACCACCGCACATAACTGGAATTGCAAATAAGGCTTGCTAAATTCCAGGATCATTTGCCTGGAGGTAGTCATAGTCACTGCTGAGCAGATCATATCCAGCTCACCTTTATATAGTTTTTCGAGGATAGTTTTCCATAATGAAACCTCATAATGTAGTTCGAGGTTCAAAACTTCAGCAACTGCCCGGATCATGTCTACCTCAAATCCTTCAAATACAGATGAATTATAATCGCTGTGTAAAGGAAAAGGCGCTGCAGAATCCAGTCCTATCTTCAATATTTGTTTCATAATTTGTTATTTCAATTCTCAGGGGTCGCATATTTGCATCGATCCCTTCTTTTATTCATTTTTTTCTAATGAAGATTAACAACCCGAGCCAACTCGTTATTTTATACTGACAATTTTAGTTAATTTTAAGGGTCTTTTTCAATAATCTCCAATATAAATATTTCATTTGACGATCAGAAAATTAAAACCATCAGAAAACACTGATTAATAATAGGGTTATGCCGGCGGCAAATAACGTACTTAGAAAATTTACCCAATCATTGCCCAAAAAATTGCGCCGTTCAAGACCAGCTCCCAGCACTGAATCCGAAAAATTCCCCATCAAACCTGCAAAAACAAGAATTACCATGCCACCAGCGCTTACGCTAAACAGCTTGTAGATTAATGCAATTACACCCGCCCCTGCTATACCAATCAATGTACCTTCTAAACTGATCACACCGTCGAGCCCTTTTCGCTCTCTTTTCCAGTTCAAACAATTATAAAACCTTTTCCCATATAATACGCCCAACTCAGAAGATAAAGTATCCGCTGTAGCTGAGGCAAAACTTCCAGCTGCCATCAAGAGTAAAACCTCTTTATATGCAGGAAAAACTATCGCTACAAAAGAAAGCAGTGTTGCTGCCCCAGCATTAGCCAGCACTTGTCCGGACTCTCTTTGAACAGCATCTCCAGGTTTACCCAGTTGCATTTTCGCTTTCCTGCCCCAGGCTGTAGCCAGTGTCCCCAATAGAAAAAAAGCGGCCAGCAAAACCAGTCCTGCATAACCAATTCCAAGAAAAATGAGTATTCCGCATAATACCCCGGTAGTGGCTGCTCCTATAGTTAACTTTCGGAAATAGACACTAAAATATCCGCCTGCAATCAATAAAAAGGCAACAGGAAGAGCGGTGAGTAGAATCAACATGCTTAAAAGTATTAAAATTTATGAGACAGCCTTGACAAGATTGAAGATATTCTTTGTAATTTTAAAAAATATATGTTTCGTTATTTTCTGGGTGCGTTATTTCTTTTGATGAGTACTTCTTGTGCGCTAATTGCACAGGAAAAATCTGCCTTAAAAGACACTGTAGCACAGCAGGATGTAAACGATATATTTAGAATATTGTTTAAGAAAAAAACGGATACTACTTTAAAAAAGACCAGCAGTCTGGCTGTTCTGCCAACCATTGGATATACCCCAAGTACAGGCTTCATGTTCGGTGCAGATGTTGCTGTAACTAAGATATTCGGCAATCCTAAAACAACTACAATATCAATTTTTGATGCTTTCGGAGCTGTTTCAACTAACCAGCTTGCCCTGATACAATTAAAACATAACGTCTATTCTGAAGCCAATCAATGGTATTTGGAAGGAAGTTGGGAATTTGGAAAAACTGTTGTTCTTGACCATGGGATTAGCACAGGCAAAGATGACCCTGGAATATCTCCGATCAAGTATACTTATGCAAAGTTATATGAAAATATATACCGCAAGATATTTGATAACTTTTATGCCGGAGCAGGCCTGGCTTTTAATTATTATACAAATATTGACGACGAACGTGAGAATTCAGCCAAGTCAAAAACCAGGAACCACTTTTACAGTGTTAAAAACGGCTTCCCTACCTATGGATATACAGCAAGCGGACTATCAGTAAATCTACTATATGATACACGTGACCAACCATTTCGTGCCTATAAAGGAGTTTATATCAATCTATCGCTCAGATCAAATAGAAAATGGTTAGGCAGTGACCAGAATGCCACACAATTAAAAACAGAATTGAGGAAATACTGGTCACTATCCAGAAAGAATCCTGAGCACGTGCTTGCCTTCTGGTTATGGGGTTCTTATCTGTTGAAAGGAAAAATCCCTTATTTGGAATTGCCAGGAACAGGAAGTGATAGCTATCAGCGGCTGGGCCGGGGCTATACAATTGCCCGCTTTAAAGGCCCCTCTTATTTTTACAATGAACTGGAATACAGATTCCCCATTACAGCGAATAAACTAATCAGTGGTGTTACATTTTTCAATATGCAAACCGCTAATAATCAATCCCGGACACGTCTATTTGAATATTGGGAAGCAGGCGGAGGAGCCGGCTTACGCATTTTATTCAACAAACATACCAGAACAAACCTATGTCTTGATTATGGATTTGGTAACGGATCAAATGGTGTTTTCGTCGGAATCAATGAAGCCTTTTAAAACTCGAACTGAACCTTTGCCCTCAACCCATATTTAGAAATACCAGGATTATCTAAATAATTGAATCTTCTGACTAAATCCAGACGAACAACTTTAAAAATATTCCCAATTCCTATGCTTCCTTCTATATAAGGTAATTTACCCAGCGAATAAGTAGTTTTAACGCCATCACCATTTACTGGAAACTGCAATAGAGAAGCATCCTGATTAGGATCATTCTCTTTTCTCAAACCACCGTAAAGTCCTTTAAAGGTAATATACTCCCTTAATTTTAACTTTTTTATCAATGGTATTCTATTTAATATCAATCCATTAAAATTATGATCAATATTCAAACTCACATAATGATCACTTACAAATTCCATGAAATTCATCAGGTTATAAGCATATATCTGGTAAGAATAACTTTGATTTGCTCTATGGATATCCAGTAATGGAAAAGGTACTTTGCCTGCTATATAACCACCTTCCAACCTTACATCAGAGCGTCCAAATTGGGAAAAATAGAAACGCTTATCAATACTCCCCATAATATTATGGTAATTATATTGTCCTCCAAATAATCCCTTTACTCCTCTTGAATAATTCAGGTTAAACACCGGATATTTTTCAATTATCCGTTCACGGAAAGTCTTACCCTGATAAAATTTCTCAAATGGGGCATAGCGAAGATCCAGACTAAGTTCAGCACTGGTGACCTGATCAGTAAGTATAGCATTGTTAGCTACATATTTGGCAAATATCAGTGATCCCGCAGGAGTTTGTGACCATTTTTTAAATCCGAGATTAAAAGAAAAGTGATTGCTATACTCCTGCATATAGTTAACCCTGTAATAATCACTATATAAAAACTGATTGCTTTCTCCACGTTTAAAAGAAGCGACAAAATTATCCTCCGGAATTATATTTTTAGCTCCATCACCCGGAATATCAACATCACGCTGAAAGCTTGCCCTGATAAAACTCTGAGGAAAAGTATAAATAGACTTATTGTTAAAAGCATAA